GAAACGGGTAAAGGAGAGAAGATTTTCTACTACTTAATTGATAGCATTTGTTTTTGTTATTGAGCGGATACAAAAAAATGTAAGGATGTTAATAGTAAAAAAAAAAAAGTGCCACTAAATGTACTTGCGCGGCCGTTAATATATCTATGCAGCACACCCAAGTAAAGTCTATATGGGGCATGCACTGTAGTTTTTAATATAAATTACTATAGTATATTTTCATGTGTGTCTGACAACTGAAAATAGATCTGGTAGCAAATATGTTTTTTTTTTACCTTGCACCTTTTTCTTAACATGTAATATTGTTTATTTAGGATTTTCATTTTCACATTCTGATTCCAATGCCTAATCATTAAATTGTTAATATGACTATAACTAAATGGGATATTCTTAAGAATAAGAGAATATGTGTTCTATTGAAGAGTGTATTTGCATTGTGATGACATCATATTGTCATTCTGGCATTATATAATGAGTGGCATAAAATAGTCTTTAACAAAAATATGTATTTTGGTGCAATATATAGTACAACAACAAAAAAAAAAAGACATCGTGACAAGCCTAATTATACATATGAGTTTTTATGCAGGAACGTCACTGAATAAGCAAAGTATGCAGACAGCATGATATTTCTATTTAGCATATTTGTTCCTGCTGCTTGCAATAGTGCTACTGTGCTGTCATTGCAATGCTGGTAAAATCTTTGAACCCGTTTACTGTCAATAAATATTTACTTTCAATAAAATGTCGTTATTTTATTACCTTTTTTATGATTATAAACTATGTTACTGAGTTCAATCTGGAAAGTCTTACAAAATTACTTAAATTATTGAATAAAATAAGAACTAGTTATTACAAAGTTGTTTAGGTTTCAGTGCATGCAGAAGTTTCGGTTTCTGTTTTGGGCCAGAGTTTTTATTTTGGTGTATTCCTATACTTTTAAGATAAACCAGATTTTCAGCATATTTCAGCTATATTTATGAATGGATGCAATAATTTTGGCAGTAAAACAGGTCCAGATTCGCGCTCTTATTCTTATTTTGTTTAATTTTATTTTAGTTTACCTTATCTTATTTCATTCTCTAAGTTTTTATAGTAGCACACAGTCCGCTGTTTTGTGGTCAGTTATGTTGTTTAATGTAGCTCCTGGAAGAACATTGTTTCGTTTGAAATGACAATAAAGCTGCCTTGACTTGACCTTATAATTTTATATATCAGACAAAAAAAATGGTTCTTAAATCAATTTTTTACATCCATAATTAAAATCCTTAACTTGAGTAATGTCAGTAGTATGAAATTAAAACAAGTAATAAAGAGGTTATTATCCCACTACTGCTATTGTTTCTCATATTTCTAAAATGCATAATCACATATTATCATCAAGAGCTGAATGAATCAGGTTTTTGTTCAGTGTTGTTGTGTTTCCTGTCACTGTGGGCCTCAGAGCACAGTAATACACAGCAGAGTCTGATACTCGCAGATCCCGGATCATCAGAGGAACTGATTTTGCAGTGGAGTTCAGTGTTGCAGAAAATCTCTCCTTAAAATCAGCCGCAGTAATTCCTTCACCATATGTTTGTTTATTCAGAATGAATGTTGGTGATCTGTTTGGAAGCTGTTTGTACCAGAAGAGGTATATATTTATATCAGTGGTGCTGTAGCTACAGCTTATTATAACTTGACCTCTTTCATTTGCACTTATGCTTCTTAAAGGCTGTTCAACTCTGTCCTGTCCTCTGCACACTGGAGAAATGCATAGAAAAGTGGATCAATAGCATAAATTATGAGCAAAGCAAACTTAATCATTCAGTTATCATAATGTAAATCATTTCCAGTTGAAGTGCGCAGAAGCAGAAATGCACTTACCATAGTAATGTGCAATGAAACACAGGGAAATGAAAGCCCATCTACACATAGTTGATTTCTGAGGTAAAAGAACAGAAATGGACTCGGCTGTGCTGTCAGAAGCTTTGTGAAGGTTTCTCTCACTGAGCTCTACTTTAAATTCACATGACCTACTCATACATGATGAGAGCAATGCTGACCCCTGCTGGAGAAAACTGGAAATGGCTAAACTTTATATTCTGAAAACAGTGAATAATTCTCCACATTGGTAGAAAGTATGTAAGTGTTTTAGACCCATTTCACCTCACTACACGTAATAACTGCCACTAGTTTAGTTATAAAAAAAACTGAATGTTTTAGATTAACACCTGATGTCTAAGGAAATGTAAAAAAAATCAAAGCAAGAAAAAACAATTATAGCATGATGGTATTTTTTCCTTTGTTTGTTTTGATGTTTTTTCCACTTGTAAATGAAAGATTTCTGCTATAGTTCTATACTTATACTACTAATTTTATCAATAAAATGGTCAAAAATGCAAGTGCTTCCTTTGAATGGGCATGATGCTTCTAGATATAGAAGAGAAGTGATCTGTATGTCATTTATGAAGCAGGTTTTTGTTCAGTGTTGTTATGTTTCCTGTGACTGTGGGCCTCAGAGCACAGTAATACACAGCAGAGTCTGACACTGCAGCAGAGGAGAGCAGCAGATCCACACGCTTGATTTCTTTTCCAGCTTGATTTTCTTTTCTCAGCTTAGTTGTAAACCTGGAATCTACTTCAGAAATCTTAGTCTCTGTTAGACCCTCTGATATGAGGACAAGATTTTGAGGAGCTGATCCAGGATAGTGACGGTACCATTGAAGATTATATGCTGAGGAATACCTGCAGGATAAAGTTACTTTTGAAGCCACTGCAGCAAACACTTCACTGCTGTCAGGACTGATTTCATCTCCAAAAATGACACCTGGCAAACAATGACAGCTTTAGTATTCAAATAAAGACATTAATTTATTACTGTAATTTTGAAATTTTACACACGCAATGAAGTTGTTATTTATATCAATTTTTGCATATTCTAAATATTTAATTTAAGAATGTTTACATTTCCATTTAATAGGTTTGTTAAAATTTGAAAATTATTAATCCCCACACATACTGTATGTACAATTGGGCTTTTTATTGTAAACGCACGTAAAATATACACAAGCACACTTACATGTGAAGACCAAGAGCAGAATGAGTGAATGAAGAACCATTGTTGAAGTGTGTGTGTGTGTTTCTACAGCAGGACTGAGCTTTGAACATTCAAGCAAATGTAACAAGAAAGTCTCTGATCCATGAGCTCAACTCCTCCTCTTTCAGCCTCCTATACAGCTTGATGGCAAAATGTGTTTGTCATATATACACAGTTTAGATCGAGTCATTTTTCGTTAATATTTTACCATAAGATCATACAGATTTAATTTTAAAGATTTATTTGTATTTTTTTTCTTCAAATAGTAGAAGAATGATGAAATGCAGTAAACAATGTGCACAACATAGGAACAAATGCTGTAATTAAAGCATTTTTAAATATTCTGTTAGGGTTGTGGGCAATATGACGATATTGTATGGACCAAATGAAAAATCTATCGTTTCATATTATGCTCTATCATTTATTTTGTGGTGTAATGTTGGGTGAGTAAAGTATTTTTAAGAATTAAGAAAGCACAATATTATGTGTATGCAGAGAGAAACAGGAATAACAGCATTGGGAGAAAGTATTTTTGCTTTTTATGTAGCAATATTTTTATTTTCAAGTTGGACCTGTAATCATGTTTTATATTTTATAAATATTTATTTTATATTCCTACATTTTTAAGGAAACATTTGCCAAGAAGTGAGAAATATGATCACATTCGAATAAGGGATTTTTTTGAGTATTTACTTTAAAATATAAAAAATCAATATCGTCAATATAAAAATATTAATTGATTGAATTTATTTCCCAGAGATGGGTTGCAGCTGAAAGGGCATCTGCTGTGTAAAACATATGCTGGATAAGTTGGTGGTTCATTCTGCTGTGGTGACCCCAGATTAATAAAGGGACTAAGCCGAAAAGAAAATGAATGATTGAATGAATTTACAAAAATGATTGACATTTAATCTATCATTATTAGGATATGAGATGGCTGTTTATAATTGTCATATTAATAATAGATTTTTGTAGATTAAAAGGTATTGTCATATTGCCCAGCCCAATTAACATACTACACTCTGGTACCAGCGAGCTGTTTCACAAAAATGGTTTAGAAATCGGGGAGTGTAGTCAAAAGCCTGACTTTAATGAGATTAGCTAAATGTCCACGCTTAAATTGGTTCCATAACAGCAAGTTGAAGATCATTTGATTTTACTAATCTGAGTTCAGATTATTGGGCATGTTACTGTCGTGAAACCTTAAAGGTTGAGCATTGATCCATAGATTACTGTATGTTGTGTGCTACTATGGCAACTACGAGAACTGAACGAGCTCTGAAATGAGACACAGCTGTTCACAGCGAGTAAGCGGCGTTGGCTTTTAGAGTTTAAACATATAAAAAATAAATTATCAAATTTTATATTTTGGGGGAAATATCAAATACAATTTTAATAAAAAGGGAAAGAAATCTACATAAACACTAAAAATATATAAAGCATTTAGTTAAAATGTTGTAGTTTGTATTAGAATAACTGGATTGAATTTAAATGTATATATCCTTCTACTGTATATTCTAAAAGATGTTTGGTGTGTATTTATATGTTTACTATTAAGTGACAATAATTTTTTCATCATTATTAGGTGGTTAAGTGAATTAAAAATAGAATCATTACTTTGATTAAACTTGAACTTAAGACTTAGCCTTAAAGTTAACCTGCCCCAGACCAGGCTAGTTTCTCTGCATAAGTTGCCAGAGTATTTGAGTTTGAACTATCATAAATTTGATATATGAAACCGAATCCGCTATTAATAAACCTGATTTACCAAAATAAGCTTGGCTTTTTCTCTAAGCTTTTTCTCTAAGCCCCCAGGACTTGATTAATAATAATAATAATAATAAACCTGCTAAACAAACCTGTCATTTCATCGTGGTGACCCTGAATGAATAAAGGGACTAAGCCAAAGGAAAATGAATGGATGAATGTATGTGTGATTAGTTGATAGTGTGTGATGTTTCTGTTCAGTTTTTATTGTTCATTGTGTTTTTGTAGAGTGTAGATGAGTTTCCTGTCATTGTGGGCGTCAGTGCACAGTAATACAGCGCAGAGTCAGTCACTTCAGCTTCAGAGATCTCCAGACTCACACGTTTGCTGTTTTTATCAACTTTAGGTAAAAGTCGTGGAGGAAGAGGTTTACTGGTAGCTCCATGCTCATAAATGTATGCGAGGAACTTTGGTCTGAATCCAGGATACTGACGATACCAGTGCAGGTTATTCACAACGCCTTCATATTTACAGGACAGGGTGACCGTTTCTCCCTCACTTTTAAGTGTCTTGTTTTCCAGTGGTGTTATTGATTGTGCAAACGTCTCCTCTGCAAGACAACCATTAATTAATTCAACCATTCATTAATTCATGCTAATATATTACTAGGAAATCAGTGCCCAGCAGCATGAATATTGAGAAGGAAAATATTAAACAAACTTCATATTATTGATGAGTTGAATAAAGATTAAATAATAAGTAAACTCTTACTTTCTATCAGTGATAGCAGAAGCAGAACACAGAGCATCTTCATGTTTGCAGTGTAAGAAGCAAAGTTTGAGCTGCTCTTTTTCAGATCTTTACATGCTCCACCTCCTGACTAAGAGGATGAGAACTCTGTAGTAAAGGGACAGTTCAAAGATCTAAATGTGCTCACTTTACTCAGTTGTTCCGTACTTTCGACTATCCTGTTTCAGTTGAACACAGAAGATGTTTAGAAAAATGCTGGAATCCTGTAACCATTGACTTCCTTACTATTTGATTTTCCTATTATGGAGGTTTCCAACATTTTTTAACAAATATCTTCTTTTGTGTCGTAGACAAATTTGTGACAAGTAAAAGTTGAGAAAATGATGATGGAATGTTACATTTTGAGTGAATTATCCTTTTAACATGATTAAATTATTAAATGTGACACTATAACACTTAATGGTGTCACGTCAGCTTGTCTTGCCAAGCGGGAAAAAACAGGCTTGTTGAAGTGCTTGTTGAACTGCAGAAGCAGGAGACCCGTCGACAGAGCTTAAATCCTCTTCTCTTTCAATGAAGTCGCCGGTGTGAAAGCATTTTGGATTTCCAGTGAGTTATGTTGACAACGTTCGTGTTGTCGACAAAAAAAAAACACAGTTTTGCAAGCTCTGCTATGTACGTATTACGTACGGTTCGTCAGATAGACAACACCAGCATCGCGATCCTCCGGCCCCGTTGCAAATCCGCTCGCGAAAAGTACACACTCAGGCCCTGTTTACACCGTCTTTGTTTTTAAATGGCATTTTAGAACGACAACAATTTGACATCCACAGTGGTGTGTAGCATTTCTGAGCAGCCCTCCTTCCTCTCTACCTCTGAAAATGCACATCACGTGACTACACAGACACAGACGTACACACAGCCATGTGCTCCAGTCAGTAGGTCCAGGCAGTCAGAGGACTGCTTCAATCTTTCACTCACTTGTACTTAGTCATTTTAGAGAACACCTCAGATACTGTTGGCTGGTTCCTGTTGGTTGTGCATCTTTTTTTACCGACGCCATTATAACGACACAGATCACTGCCTATTCACGAGTCCCGCAGAAAAAGTGATTGACAGGTGGTAATTATGTGTGTATCTTGCCTTTATTCATTTACTGTATGATTTGTTTATGGGTAAAACAAAGACCATGCAGGTCAGGTAGTTTAAACGGTAGGCTACAAATAATTAATTGGTCATTAATTAATTAATTATTCATAATCGAATCGAATCGTGCCTTCAGAATCGAAAATGTAATCGAATCGAGGATTTGGAGGATTGTGACACCCTTAATAATACTGCATAAACAAAAAGAGAAATTAAGCTCATGCGATCATAAAGATGATCTTTTTTTTAATTATGTTGGATGTGTATGTTGGCCTATTACTAATTTAGTCTTTTATTTTAGTTTATTAATTGTTTCACCTTTACATCTAAATTTCCATTCATAATTGTGTAATTTAATAACTCAACATTTAACTTAAAGGAGGATGAATAGATCATGAACAGAGCTCCTGGGAATTATTGTGTAGTGTTGTTTACACTATGCTACACTTTTATTTGACAACATACATCGTTTACACATTAATTTACATATAATATAGCTATGAACAGTGCAATTATTGTATAGTAATATACATGTGCATACATTTGTCAATTTTTAGATTTTTATTATTCTTGCTTTTTAAATTCTCTCTTATCTGTGTTTTTGTCCTGTCACAATCATCCTTTTGCCCTTTGGAAACTTGTGTTATGAAAGCCAATTTCTTGTATGTGTAAACGCCTGACTTTAAAATGTTCATGTTAAGTGCACATCGCCCTCCTCTGGCTTTTCTAGTCAGTTGCACACATGCATACAGTGCTTCACATTCCCAAATGAGTTTTAAAGACAATAACATTTGATGGTGATTATATCATTTCAGCAGCATCAGTAATATAAAGTAATCTAAATTTAGAATATTAGAATGGATAATTTGACTGTCAACTTTCAAGTGACAAGTGAAAGAAACTTGCTAAATTGGTGTATTTGTGGATTTTAAAAATGAAATCATCCACTTAATAAAGTAAAGTGATCAAAGACAACATTTAAAGTATTATTTGTTTGTTGTAGCATTGTCAGAGTTTTTGTGTGAGTGTTGAGTGTGTTTGAGTCACTGTGGGCCTCAGAGCACAGTAATACACAGCAGAGTCTGACACACGCACATCCTGGATCTTCAGTGGAAATGATTTTGAACTTGTGTTGAGTTCGCTGCTAAATCTATCCTTGAATTGCTCTTCATCAGAACTAAATCTGTTCAGCATGTATTCTGGGAATCTGTTGACTTTTTGCTGGTACCAGAAGAGATATGGCAATGTATCAGTGGTTTCATACTGACAGTTGATTATTACATCTTCATCTTCAACAACAGTTTCAACTCTTGAGTTTTGTTCAACTTTATCCAGAGAAACACGACCTGTAATATCAAATAAAACATCACTGATGAGAATCAAATTCACTTGTTAGATGAATATCACTAAATGTGTACTTCTGGATTTTGACTTACCCCAGAGAAATGTGAGGAAGAAGATTCTTTGCCAGTTTGCCATTAGAGTAGTTCTTAAAATACTAATTTAGATGTAATGAACTTGTTGAAGTGTTCAGTAGACTGTTGTTTCAGCCTCTCTTTGATGAAGTTGTGCTGTAGTAAAACTGTGACCTGTGGGAGGAGTTTGACTGAACACACACAGTTTGACAGTCTCCTCCTTAATGTGCCACAGTCTTAAAGGCTGCTTAATATATGTATGAATGTTCAGACCTGTAGCCAGCCTGGTGACCTCATTTTCTATTTAGTTGTGGTGTTTAAATGCTCCAATGAGTGGCATTTTAAGCTATATTTTTATCTGGATTAGCTTGTTGTATCCTCCCTTTTTGATGTACCAAAAATATTTCCTAAAGATTTATAATAAACAAATATAAAAATGAGCTTCAGGATTTTTTTCTTACCTCTCTTGAAAATGTATCTAACAACAGCCTAATTATCTCAAACAGCAAAAGTCAGTCTAATCACTCGAAAAATGTGGAAAAATATTAAAAAGCCTTTACTGACATGCCTATTTGTCATGCGCCTACACCTTTTGATAACACTTGACTTCATCATGGTGTAGCTGCAGTTTTAAAGAACAGCCATTTCAACATGTTCTTTCGAACCACCCAAACCCCCAATATCAGTTACAACAATAACAGCAACAATAACAACATCATGCCAGACGAAATCCATATGTTTGCAGTTTTGGAACCTCTTGCAATGTAAAAATTCATTTATAATTTCTTAATAATCATTGTTTATTGTTATTATTAATCTATGTGTAAATACAGGAATATAATGCCATTTTTAATGTTTAAGATTGGGGGTGCTCCGTTTGATCGTCCGAATATCAGTATTAGCTGATAATCACAAGTAATAACTTGATCGGTACTCACCAATATGGTGGATTTCATAAACTGATCGCAGGTGTTTTTGAGATTACAAGCAGAGGACGACTCACTCGCGATCCTGTATATTATGCATAGCCTACAGCTACAGCTCTGTCTTGTTTGTTTCTCTTCACCATCGTCATTCTATCTGCCTTTGACAAGTGACGTCACCCTCGCGAAACGCTGACTTGCATTATGGTACTAGCCGCCGTTTATGGGGTATCCGAGTTAACATTAGCAGTTACATAGTTTTAGCATCTTTCACAGAGTAAATACAAAGATTTAGGAAAAGATTAAAATCATCCTGTTTATGCTGAACATGTTCTTTATATTATGTTATTAACTTATATTATATAAAACACAAGAAGAGACACAGATCTTTCAGCCATTGCACATGTTTATTTACAGGCAGGATTGTGCAGTGGGTAAAGGGTGAGTGGGATATTATGGGGAGGGACGATGATCAGCATCAGCACCATCTGTTGTTGTGGTTGTGTTTGTTGATCCACAGGTGCTTCAGTTTAGGATCATTTCTGTAACGCTGGTGCAGCAGCTCTCTTTCTCTTCTCTCCCTCTCCTTCTGGAGATTCCTCTCCACATTCCCTTCACCTTCTCCTCTGCCCTGGTGAACAGATTCATCTGCACTTTTCTTTTGGTCTTTGGCTGCTCCGGGACGTTCTCACTGAGCTTGCTCTCAGCCCCATCAGCAGGAGACACGCAGAACAGAGAGGTCATATCATGTTCAGCCTCAGAGTGTCCAGCTTCACTGAGGTCCTCAAACTCAAACACTTCACTCGTCCATGATTCATCATCCAGCACCTCCTCCTCCTCCTCCTCCTCTTCCCTGGCAATCATCTGTCTTTGGCATCTTTCAGGCTCGAGGAAGGTCTGGATGGTCTCCCCAAACTCACTTTCCTCATCCTCAGTATCAGAAAACATGAGCTCTGAAGCAGATACAGACCAGGCAGAACCTGAAGACTGAGACTGCAGTGAGCTGAGAGAACACACTGATCTCAGAGGAGCACGAGGAGGAGGAATAGGACACACTGTGGAGAACAGCTCATCTGGTGCAGGAACAGGATGTAGAGGAACAGCCAACAGTTTGGGAGGGTCCAGATTAAAAGGGCACCCAGGCAGGACAAACTCTTGCTCAGATCCTTCCACAGCACACATCTGTGGTATTTTCACTGGCGGCAGGGGCTTGAATCGAGCGGCCGGAAGGATGAAGTCTCCAGAGTCACTGGGAAGCTTTGGTAGTTTTCCCTTTATGGGCTTTAAGACAGAGGGTCTGGCAGGAGTCTGCAGGGCTTTGACCTCTCTTTTAGCCCCCTTGCGGCGTTTCTTCCTGCACTTGTTGGGATTAGCAGTGAAGTTGCAGGCCTCGCTCTCTGAACATTTATTTACTGCCGCCAGTTCTTGAGCTGCACATTGCTGTGTCTCCCTTCGATGCCAGAAAGGGATAAAACAGTCAAACAGCTTTTTAAATGCACTGCTGAACAGAGCCATCCTGAACACTGAAGGCTGAAAATGAGTTGGTCAGTAAGTCACAGAAGTAGCTCTCAATCACTCGACCACTCAAACACCAACAACAGTTTAGAATGTGAACTGCAGTTTCTGTATTCCAGAACAGAATTCTGTTTATGACATCACACATTCTGCTGAGCTCCCCTGAGTGACACTTCTGAACTATGACAAGCAGAAAATGCTCACACTCACAGCAGTGGTGTCAATGAAAGAAGTTTACAAACACTCCTTCTGCCCCTTTATATTTCACTGTTAAAAATACACAGTTCATCAATAACCATTAACAAGAACAAGAGAAGACAAAAACCTGTTGTGAACATTCAAACATTCTGAAATATTTTCATTTATCAGTTCATGTAGTTTTCGCAATGCTGCTTGACCAGTGTGTTACAGACTTCAGATAACATATACACTGTAAAAAAAATTGACCTTAAATTCACAGTAAATTACTGGCTAATAATTGCAGTAAATTCACAGTAAATTATTGTGAGGTGGTTCACAGTAATTTACTGTGATTTTATCACATTAAATTATTGTGAAATTACAGCCATCTAGTGTAACTTTACAGTAGATAATAAATTCTGTTACTGTGATTTCATAGTATTATCTTGTAGAATTAGCTATATTTTACTATAAATTTACAATACAAATACTGTGATTTAGCAGTAGGTTGCAGTTGAAAATCTTGATTTAATTGTAAAGTTACATTTATATCCAGAATTACTGTAATTTAACAATTTGGTGCTGTAAAATTTCAAAGCAAATTTAGGTCACTCAAAAATGAAATTTCTGTCATGATCTACTCACCCTCAGGTTGTTCCAATTCTGTTAAGTATGATTTTAAGATAAAAAAAAATATATATATATTATATTTGATGAAAAAATATCAAATATCCCCCTTTGTGTTTAAACAACCCGAGAATGCACAAATTACGACAGAATCTACATTTTGGGTGCTCTGAGAAGGCTCTAAAATAAAAATGAAAACACCCACACATTTTACACATTTACTTAACAGTTTAATTACTTCAGTGTAAACATGTCAGAAAATTCTCAAAAGATGAAGCCTTTTGGAAAATAAAGGCTTTTTTATATATATATATATATATATAGAGAGAGAGAGAGAGAGAGAGAGAGAGAGAGAGAATCAAAACTGCTTGCAAATTATGCAGTCATCTAGTCAAGGTCAGTTATTTTCCTAGTAATTGTACACACTTGTTGGTTGATGTGTCTTCTCTGCTTCTTTAACTTCTTCCGTTTCCAAACTGATGCCCAAAAAGCACCTATAAGCAAAAGAGCAGATAAACTGTTAGCTTCGTTCAACAAATGACGCTGTCTGTTCCAAATCACAACCTTCAGTGGAACACTACACAGAGTAAAATGACTGTTAGCTCAGTTTGAACATGATGACAATACTGTAGTTCAGTCAAACTGCAATCATTTAAACAAAAACATCTAAAAAAACATTTCCGTCACAAACACACAATCAAGAACAGTCTAACAGCAAATAGTGGTTTTAATTTACCCAGGCAGAGCATTTCAAAACAGTTGATTTGATTTACAGTACATCTTCCATTTACATAGTGTAATCTAATGCTGGGTTCACACTTATTGCAAAGTGAACACTTGCATCACGGCACTTGCTCTTGAATACTAGCAGGATGTTTCTTGCATCAAGCAAATTTTTCATGAGTTGAATATTTGTAAAAATGTTTGCAAAAAACTTGATTGTAGAGATACAGCACTTGTGTTTTATTCACTTCAATCAAGTTTTTTGCAAATAATCTAAATATTTTTTCCACATATTTTGCATTTCACTTAATTTGTGCTGCCCAGTAAAAATTCCCCACTATTTATGCATTTGCAATGACTTGTATGTAATCCACTCACCTGAATATGTATGTTCACATTTGGTATAAGAGCTCCATCCTCTTAAAGACAGCTTCCTCTCTGGTCTCCAGCACAGACCAACAAATTGAGTCAGCAACACACCCCTTTATTACAAGTGAGGTGGATTTTATACTCTTTAAAGTGTGAAGTTAATCTATATATTCAAATTGTATGTGTATAATCTGCTTGTAGACTTGCATACCATTAAAACAATTGAAGTGTTATGAAGAGTTAGAAAGGGGAAATGGCCTGAGGAAACAACTAAGGGTCATAAAAAAAGGGATGAAAAGAGAGTGGCAAAAAAGCCTGAGGTGTCTCAGGAAACAGATGTCAGAGGTGGAATTTGGGGTCAGGGGTTAAACTAGGAGGGATCTTGTGTAATATATGGAGAACAAAGGAAAACAACGGATGTAAAAGGGTATTTAAGTAAGGCCAGAACGTGAGTCAGACAGAATTTTTCAGACAGAGACGCTACTGGGGGTCTCCTGAAAGTTCTCCTTTGTTGTCGACAATAAAGTATATTCTTCTGATATTCATAACCTTCAGACTGAGTTTGATTGAGTAAGAGAAAAACCAAGAAAACCACTACACAAGGGGACAAGAGGAGTCATGACTTGTGCTCCTATACTTTCCTTGTTTAACCCCCCAAAACAAGTCCTGAATTTGTGAAATCCAGGTGAGGTCCCATGACCACTTGACCCTCCAAGGAATAAGACTGTTTGTTTGATGTTGTATGAAAGAAAGTGTGTTTGAAGTGAGAAATATGATCACATACGAATGAATTTTTTTTTTTTTTTTTTTTACATCAATATAGTGGTCAATATAAACATTTTAATCTATTAAATTTATTTCCCAGAGATGGGTTGCGGCTGGAAGGGCATCCTTTGTGTCAAACATATGCTGGATAAGTTGGCGGTTCATTCCGCTGTGGCGACCCCAGATTAATAAAGAGACTAAGCCGAAAAGAAATTGAATGATTGAATGAATTTACAAAAATGATTGACATTTAAAATATCATTATTAGGATATGAGATGAGCAGCAGTTGAAGATCATTTGATCTTACTAATCTGAGTTCAGAGAATTGGGCATGTTACTGTCGTGAAACCTTAAAGGTCGAGCATTGATGCATAGATTATGTTGTGTGCTACTATGGCAGCTACGAGAACTGAACGAGCTCTGAAATGAGACACAGCTGTTCACAGCGAGTAAGCCGCGTTAGTTTTTAGAGTTTAAACATATAAATAATTAATTATAAAATGTAATATTTTGGGGGAAATATCAAATACAATTTAAACAAAAAGGGAAAAAATCTACATAAACAATAAAAATATATAAAGCATTTAGTTAAAATGTTGTAGTTTGTATTAGAATAACTGGTTTGAATTTAAATGTATATATCGTTCTACAGTTTATTCTATTCTATTATTCATGTTTAGTGTGTATTTATATATTTACAATTAAGTGACTATAAACTTTTAATCATTTTTAAGAGGTTAAGTAAATTAAAAATGTAGTTAAATTACGATTAATTAATGTTAACATTACTTTGATTTAGCTTGAACTTAAGACCTAAGCTGCGGTCACACTTGACTTTTCTCCCCATAGACTTCCATTCATACGCATTCGAATGCATCAGACCGGAAACGTAAGGTTATGCATTAAGTTTCAAGCTTTTTGAACTCTGACCTGCGAAATCGTCTCACTTGACTGCGTGAGACCAATCGAGGATCAAAACATGACATCTCTGGACAGAAATTTAAAACATGCAGCAATCACTCGCTTTTTTAATGTCTAATAATCTTGTTTAATCCTGCCCCTTTTCGCAGTGCTGTACGACAGAATTTCGCACACACAAACTCTAGTGTAACAGCAGCTTTAGCCTTAGAGTTAACCTGCCCCAGACCAGGCTAGTTTCTCTGCATAAGTTGCCAGAGTATTTGAGTTTGAACTATCATAAATTTGTTATATGAAACCGAATCCGCTATTAATAAACCTGATTTACCAAAATAAGCTTGGCTTTTTCTCTAAGCTTGGTTTATGGTACAGCCCCCAGGACTTGATTAATAATAATAATAATAATAATAATAATAAACTTGCTAAACAAACCTGTCATTTCATCGTGGTGACCCTGAATGAATAAAGGGACTAAGCCAAAGGAAAATGAATGGATGAATGTATGTGTGATTAGTTGATAGTGTGTGATGTTTCTGTTCAGTTTTTATTGTTCATTGTGTTTTTGTAGAGTGTAGATGAGTTTCCTGTCATTGTGGGCGTCAGTGCACAGTAATACAGCGCAGAGTCAGTCACTTCAGCTTCAGAGATCTCCAGACTCACACGTTTGCTGTTTTTATCAACTTTAGGTAAAAGTCGTGGAGGAAGAGGTTTACTGGTAGCTCCATGCTCATAAATGTATGCAAGGAACTCTGGTCTGAATCCAGGATACTGACGATACCAGTGCAGGTTATTCACAACGCCTTCATATTTACAGGACAGGGTGACCGTTTCTCCCTCACTTTTAAGTGTCTTGTTTTCCAGTGGTGTTATTGATTGTGCAAACGTCTCTTCTGCAAGACAACCATTAATTAATTCAACCATTAATTAATTCATGCTAACATATTACAAGGAAATCAGTTCCCAGCTGCATGAATATTGAGAAGGAAAATAATAAACGAACTTCATATTATTGATGAGTTGAATAAAGATTAAATAATAAGTAAACTCTTACTTTCTATCAGTGATAGCAGAAGCAGAACACAGAGCATCTTCATGTTTGCAGTGTAAGAAGCAAAGTTTGAGCTGCTCTTTTTCAGATCTTTACATGCTCCACCTCCTGACTAAGAGGATGAGAACTCTGTAGTAAAGGGACAGTTCACACAAAGATCTAAATGTGCTCACTTTACTCAGTTGTTCCATACTTTCGACTTTCCTGTTTCAGTTGAACACAGAAGATGTTTAGAAAAATGCTGGAATCCTGTAACCATTGACTTCCTTACTATTTGATTTTCCTATTATGGAGGTTTCCAACGTTTAAAAAAAAAAAATCTTCTTTTGTGTCGTAGACAAATTTGTGACAAGTGAAAGTTGAGAAAATGATGACGGAATGTTACATTTTGAGTGAATTATCCTTTTAACATGATTAAATTATTAAATGTGACACTATAATACTGCATAATCAAACAAAAAATAGAAATTAAGCTCATGTGATTATAAAGATGATCTTTTTTATTATATTGTAAGCGTATATTGGCCTATTACTAATTTAGTCTTATTTTTTAGTTTATTAGTTGTTTCATTTTTACATCTAAATTTCCATTCATAATTATGTAATTTAGTAACTCATAATTAAACTTAAAGGAGGATGAATAGATCATGAACCGAGCTCTTGAGAATTATTGTGTAGTGTTGTTCACACTATACCCACACTTTAATCTAACAACATACATTGTTTACACTTTAATTTACATATAATATAGGTATGTACAGTGCTATTATTGTTTATAGTAATATACATGTGCATACATTTGTCTATTTTTATTATTATTGCTTTTTAAATTCTTTTATCATCTGTGTGTTTGTCCTGTCAATGTCACCCTGTTGCCCTTGTGGAAACTTCTGTTATGAAAGCAAATTTCTCGTATGTGTTAACGCCTGACTGTGATGAATTGTTCATGTTAAGTGCACATCGCCCTCTTCTGGCTTTTCTAGTCAGTTGCACACACGCATACAGTGCTTCACATTCCCAAATGAGTTTTAAAGACAATAGCATTTAATGGTGATTATATCATTTCAGTAGCATGAGTGATATAAAATTAGGAATATTAGAATGTATACTTACATTTTAAGTAAAAACTTAGAAATATTAAAACTTAAGAAATATTAAATTTATAATTTGATTGTCTACTTTTAAGTGACAAGTGAAAGAAACTTACTAAATTAGTGTATTTGTGGATTTTAAAAGTAAAATCATCCACTTAATAAATGAATGTGATCAAAGATAACATTTAAAGCATTATTTGTTTGCTGTTGCATTGTCAGTGTTTTTGTGTGAGTGTTGAGTGTGTTTGAGTCACTGTGGGCCTCAGAGCACAGTAATACATAGCAGTCTGACACTCGTAGATCCTTGATTGTCAGAGGAACTGAAGTTTTGCTGAGAGTTGCGTGAAATCTCTCATTGAATTCTTCCTCAATGTGTCCAGTTGTGTTGGTGATTTTATTTAGCATGTGTTTGGGGACTCCTTTGACTTTCTGCTGGTACCAGAATAGAGTTGGGTTTGTTGAAGTCTGATATGTGCAGTCAATGGTTACAGTATCACCTTCAAAAGCAGATTGAGTCTTTGTGTCCTGATCAACTTTGTCCTGAGAATCACATCCTGAAATAATCACAACAAAATTAATAAACATGCACTTTACACACATAAAAACATTCATTTTATGTATCACAATGATCATTATTTGATAATTACTCACCCTTGATAAATATAATTATGATCAGAATGCCACTTTTCCAAAAAGCCATTATATGAAGCTGAAATCCTCTAAAAGTGTTGAAGAATCTGCAGAGATGTTGTGCTCCTCTTCCTCTTTCTGGATCTGTTGAAGCAGCAGTCAATTCATATCACTTGCTCTGCTGCTGGGAGGAGCCTAAGCTGCACTCGCTCTCAGTATACATTGTGTGTTCTGTTATACAGTATTAATTGTTTTGACAAGCTTACATTGCTTCATTCACTGAAACATTCTGATATTTCCTAATGATTACTATAGTCCATACTGTTTTGATGCTGATAATAAGATTGGAACTACTTTCATGTCACATTTCAGACTCTAAATAAACGTGTTGAATACAAATTGACTCATTCTTGTATCTCGGTGGTCTTAAAAATGATTTTAGATAATATAAATACTTATAATTTTGATGTCACTACAGTTTTTTGTCTTCTTTCTACTGTAGATGATTTGTTCTGCATGTTGTTATTGTCACATCCCCAGCTCGTTCCTGCTGCTCCAATCACCATTCTCCCTCACCATCTCGTTCCCTCAGCTCCAATCATCGCTCTCCTTCTCCTGCCACCTCTCATCACACCTGAGCACTCTCACCTGAGTTCTAATTACACACACCTGCAACAGCAATCACAGTCACTATATAGACTTTACATTAATACGTCCTAGTATTAAAATGGCAGTTTAGTACGAAAATGATCCACATCCACACCGTATTTTACGCAGCATTTCTGAACAGCCCTTTGTTCGCTGAAAACATCACGTGACCACACACACACACACACACACACACACACACAAACACACACACAATGACATGCCCTCGTCTGACTGAGCTCCAGTGAGTAGTGTACATCGGACAGTTTATGAAGGATGTACTGCTGGATCGCGCCTCACTGTAGTTGTTAAATTAATCTTGTCTCTAACGACTCTTCGGTCTTTTGAATCTATCTGGTAACGTCACAGCATCAGTAAACTGCTTCAGTCTTTCACTTTTACACTTGTACTTAGTAATTTCAGTGAAAACCTCAGATAATGTTGGTTGTGCACCTTTTTACCGATCAACCTCACGCGGAAAAAGTGATTGACAGGTGGTAATTTGTGCATCTTTATTGATTTGTTTATGGGTAAAACAAAGACCATGCAGGTCAGGCAGTTGAAAGGGTAGGCTACAAATAATTAATTCACCTCCGCCTATGATGACGATGCCATTGTCCATCGCGATGTTTCACATTAGACATCGTACGATGCCAAATTGGTCAACATTGTCCAACCCTATCGGCTATAGTATATTGGCTATCTGCCTCCAAATCTTAAGAGTTATCGGTTATTGATATCACCCAAAAAATCCATATCGGAGTATCTTTACGCAAAATCATCTAAATTGTTTTGTTGCGTTCTATAGATCTAAAAGAAAAAACGCTTTGCTTTAACTTTATAATAATGGCTGGTGAACAAGATCCTCCTGAACATTTGTAGAGAGCAGTTTATTATCTCATTTGTGTATTACAGTTGTTATTGTGTATTATGATGACTGCGCCGGCGTGATCTTCTTGCAGTAAAACAATGCAAAAATGCATTAAAGTGTTGTGTACGCATTACAGCCTCACATTTGACAAGCTCTGAGCGAGTGGGCATAACCGCTATTGCAACTGTTTTATAAACACATTTTGAGAGGATCATGTGCTTATGATTGTTTGCAGCTGCCCCACATTATCCAATTTATTATTTAACAATCAGACAATTCCTAAGTGCTTTAGGTTTCACACCACAGACATCTTCGTTTTGAAGACCGCTTCGTCACAGCCAGATACTGCTGCTGCTGCTGCTGCCGCTACAAACACAACAACAACTTCAACAATTACATCTTCAACTACAACTCCAACAACAACAATTAACACCATGAGCAATATCAATTACAACAATAACAGCAACAATAACAACATCATGCCAGACGAAATCCACGCGTTTGCATTTTCTGGCAGAAGTCGGTACCTTTCTTGACTTATTGTGTTCCCTGACATGGAATACACTATTTGAGTTGCAAAATGCAGTTAGATGATCAGCTGTAGCTAATGTGAATGTTTTATCATTAACACATTCACATAAATATGTTAACTGTGTTTGGGATTGAAAGTAATACAGTTTTGGAACCTCTTGCAATGTAAACATTTAATTTATAATTTCTTAATAAGCATAGTTGATTATTATTCATTTATTTGTAAATACAGGAATATAATGGCATTTTTAATGTTTAAGATTAGGGATGCTTTATTCGATCGTCCGAACATCAGTATCAGCTAATAATCACAAGTAATAACTTGCTCGGTACTCGCCAAAATGGTGGATTTCATAAACCGATTGCAGGTGTTTATTTTATATATATATTTTATATATATATATATATATATATATATATATATATATATATATATATATATATATATATATATATATATATATATATATATATATATATATATATATATATTTGTATATAATGAAAAGTAACAGAATGAGATATTGGAACTCTTACTGCATTAATTGTTTTTCAGGTTTTATTCAACACCTCACAGGTGTGACTGCATATTTATTGTGGTTTAAGATTAAAGTTTTGATTGTGGTTTTCACTTGATGAGTTCAAAGAGAAAAGAGCTGAAGGTTTTTGTACGACATATCTCATGTTTTGTATCACTGGGCTCTTACTCTTAGAGCACAATAATAGAGAGCTGAATCTGACAGATGCACATTAGTAATAGTGAGTTCAGTGGATGACTCTGATGTTGCAGACTGAAACCGATCATCAGACTTGTATTCATCATTACCCCATGATCGAGCATATCTGTGCACTAAATACTGAGGTTCTCCATTGAGATACTGTCTGTACCAGTAGAGGCAAACATAACTGCTGCTTGTACTGTAAGAGCAGCTCAACTTGACATTTTCTATTTCTTCAGATGTTTTTTCTTTCCCTTTATCTGGTTCAATGCTGTCTCCACACACCAAACCTGCAACACAAAACACAAATGATCAGTTTTGTACTCTGTAAATACAAACATGACTACATTACAGTTAACAATTTATAATTTGTACTTAAT